AGAAATTTGAGAATCACTGCTGAAATTTTGATAAAGGCAAAATTGACCAGTAAGAATGTATAGAGTGAGGAAATTAGTTTGCTGAAGTCTAACCCTGGTATGATAACATTTGTGTGTAGGAGAGGTTGCGAGATGGAGAGAGCAATTAACACAGTTTAAAAGACGCAGGGTGAAAAAACAAGTGCCAAAAGTGCTAATTTTGACAACTTTGGTGGTCATTGGTGAGTTTAGCAAAATCTGTTTCTGTGGGAACTCAGAAGGGAGGGAAAGCTAAACTGCAATGGACTGAGAAGTGAATAACGGGGAAGAACTGGAGACAATCATTGCAAACCAATCTTTCAAGTAGCTTGACAATAAAGGGAATTGACGAAAATAGCACAATACTCAGGAGAGTACATGGAGTAGACAAGTCTTTTAAAATGAGAGAATTAAGAATTTGTTTCCATGCATGGAGAAAGCATAAACAGAGGAGACAAGAAGGAGTCCTGGAGGAGGTGGGAATGTCTGGGACCCAGAGAGATCAACCAGATTACCTGGCACTAGAGGGTTTGGGCAGGATGAACTGAGTCTTCATTGATGTCTGGGGGACGAAGGGTAGCTTGGGTTGACCAAACAAGACTTTTATTTTGCTGAGTAAGACAAGCAAACTGTGGGGATTTGGAGAGGGGTTGGGTAGAAGCTGTAGTTGGATGATTGAAAAGGTCGGAAGAGGAGGTTTGGGGGTTCTGAATAAGACCATTCTCGGGACAAGATGGGCCTGAGAAGACACTTTGGGGAAGAGAGCAGGAGATTTCTCACAGGGAAGTTTAATGAACATATTTTCTGTGGAATCTGTCCCCCATAGGGATGGATTAACCAGTAAGCAAGGTACACGTGGGCTTACAGTAAGTAAGCAAGGTAGGCACCAGTTTACTTGCGCTTACTTACTAATCTGTAGTGAACAATTTCATATGGGTATCACCACATCAAAGATGTGAAATTGTTCACTACAGATTAGTAAGCAAGCCAAGTAAACCTGTAAGCCCGTGCGTACCTTGCTTATTGGGCAATCTGTCCCTGGTCCCCCATCTCCCACCAAGTCTTTCGTAAAATCTTTGTTACTAAATCAGAAGAGAAATTCATATCTCAGGGGCTCAGACAGCGTCTTTGGAGCTGTGTCTCTGAAGATCTCTGCATGGAGGCCATTCTGCCCACTCAGCTGCCCCAGAGGAAAGAGTGAGCATTCCTGATGGCCCCAGCAGAAAGATCCTAGGAAGAACTCTGATTCTCTTGATTTGGGTCATGTACTATTCCTGATGGTGGGAGAAAGATGTGATGGTTTTCTTCTGTAGAGATTTACAGCCTTGGAAACCTTATGGGGTTGCTATGAATCAGAGTCGACTCGATGGCAGTGGGTGTGGACTATTCCTGAACCTGCTGCTGGGTTCAGGGAAAGGAATCCTGTGGGTGACCAATCAGCTTGTAGAGCAAACTCACCTCTGAGTGAAGACGAAGGAGCCCCAGGCTTGACGGCCCCACCTGAACCACTGGTGTTGGTGAACTATTCCCAAGATGGAGTCCAGGACAGACAAATATGTGACAGCTGAAAACCAAAAGCAGTAAAAGGTTCAAAGGAACTGTTGTAGGGAGAGAGCAAAGCTGATGAGGGACACGTAGCAAGAAGGTAAAAAACAAAAAACCAAACCTGTTGTCGTAAAGTCAATTGCAACTTATAGCAATCCTATCGAACAGAGTAGAACGGCCCTACAGGGTTTCCAAGGCTGTAATCTTTAAGAAAAAAAGATCCTCACAACTGGGCCAATAAGCAACATCATGATAAACGGAGAAAATATTGAAGTTTTTTTTTTACTTGAATTTCATTTTACAAGGATTTCGTTTTACTTGGATCCGCAGTCAACGCTCATGAAAACAGCAGTCAAGAAATCAAATGGCGTATTGCATTGGGCAAATCTGCTGCAAAAGACCTCTTTAAAGTGTTCAAAAGCAAAGATGTCACTTTGAGGACTAAAGTGCACCTGACCAAAGCCATGGTATTTTCAGTCGCCTCATATGGACAGTGAATAAAGAAGACTGAATAAGAATTGATGCCTTTGGATTATGATGTTGGAAAGAATATTGAATATACCATGGACTGTCAGAAGAACGAACAAATCTGGCTTGGAAGAAGTACAGCCTCCTAGAAGGGAGGATGGTGAAACTTCGTCTCAAGTACTTTAGACATGTTATCAGGAGGGACCAGTCCCTGGAGAAGGACCTCATGCCTGGTAAAGTAGAGGGTCAGTGAAAGAGAGGAGGACCCTCAATGAGATGGATTGACACAGTGGCTGTAACAATGGGCTCAAACATAGCAATGATTGTGAGGATGGCGCACGACCGGCCAGTGTTTCATTCCGTTGTACAGAGACGGTCGCTATGAGTTGGAATCAACTCAATGGCACCTAACAACAACAACATTCTTTAAGGAAGCAGATTGCCACATCTTTCTCCCACAGAGCAGCTGGTGGGTTGGAACCGCTGACCTCTCAGTTAGCAGCCAAGCATTTAACCACTGCGCCACCAGGGCTCTCTAGTAAGAAGTGACCTATGTCACTTTCTTCAGGGGCTCTCAGCTGCAGAAATGGCTAACCATTGAACTAAAATAGGCCCAAGGTTTTGCTAGCATGAGTGCCAAAAGGAAAAGACAGCAAAGCAAGACCCTCTAGATTATAGGCAAGAGAGGGGTTGAAGAGAGATGGCAATAAATTCTGATTTGCTGGGATGGTCCTGGTTTATGTCTGTTAATTATGTTTCAGCCGTGTCCCAGTTTGGATGGTAAATTTTGTGGTCAGCCTAGGTTTAAGTGACATATGCAGTTCTTAGGTGGTACAAATGGTTTGTGTTGGGCTACTAACTGAAAGATTGTCGGTTCAAACCCACCCAGCAGCACTGCAGAAGAAAGGCCTGGCTGTCTGTTTCCATAAAGATTATAGCCAAGAAAACTCTATGGAGCAGTTCTGTTCTGTAAAATATGAGGTCACCAGGAGTCAGAATTGACTCGATGGCAGTGGGTTTGGGTTTGGCTTTTAGGTTTTGTTTGTTGGTTTGTTCTTAATCATGCAGGCTGGCTTGGAAAGTAAAGCCAGGAGGGGAAAAACAGGAGGACCAAAGGCCTGAAAGTGCTGATGTGCTCAGGGGTGAGGTCAAAAGGATGGGAGGGTGTGGCCAGGGAGTGGGATGCTAAGCAAGTTTAAGGTTTCAGATGTGGAATGGCTCCAGGTGACCACAATGTCCAGGGACAGGGTAGCAGAAATGGAAGGCTGGGACTTCATTTCCTAGTGTCAGTGTTCCTAAGCATGGTGACAAGACCTAGAGTGAAGAAAAGGACTGTGTAGATAGTGAACCAAAGTGAAGTCCATCAAACCATCTAACCAGACACAGAAAGTGGTCAGAAGCTTGGACTAGTGACAGGAGGGCAGAAGCCCTCCCATTTACTGCTGCTTCACATGTGCCGGACACTATGCTTCAAATGTGTCCGCAGCTGTGGAGACTGTGTCTGTCTTGTTCAAGGCCTTGTCCTCAGTTGGCCTGGCAAACACCTGGGGCCATTTTTGTGCAACAAATATCTGTTAAATCAATGGAGGAAATACTTTTTGTCTGAGAAATCTTGTGTATCTAGGAGATGGGCTTTATTCCTCCCATTTCATAGATAAAGAAGTCAGCTTGGAGGCATTAATTAACTTGGCAGTTTCCTACAACTAGTCAATAACAGTTAGAATTCAAGCCCACATCCGTCTTACTGTATTTTTACACAAATAATGCATGTTTGTTTGCCAACTGCGGCCAACCCCCCTCCTTGAGGTATTTTCCTAAGGGCACTGTGCTAATTTTTTTACAGAGACATGTAAAAAAAATCAGCATAGCGTGCTTATGGAAAATACCACGAGGAGGGAGGGCGTGGTTGGCAACAAATGTAGAAGGTGCATGTTATTTCTGTAAAAATACAGGACTCCAAAGCCCACGTTGTTAATCACTACAATGTATTAGTTTTGATTGTCAAAATAAGACCCAAAAGTATTTGTTATTATTTGTCTATGTATGTGTACGTACATACATACATATTGTTATGGAGATTAAATGTTGAGAGGATTAAATATACGTAAAACATTTAGAACAATGCCTAGTATATAATAAGATATATAATATACTAAGGTACACTAGGCATTGTTCTAAATGTGTTACCTCTATTTAATCCTTTCAACATTTAATCTTCACAACAATTCCGTAAAGTGAGCGCTGATATTCTCCCCAGGATCCAACGTACCTGGTGTTGAATAACCTGCCCAAGCAGTCTGTTTCCAGAACCCATACTCTTGATCAATGTGATTTGCTGCCACTTGTATGCAAGTTTACACAGTGTTCCCTTGTTTATAAATACCAAATTTTAAAACTCTGCTCAAGCGCTGAATTACCTCAAGCTGAATACAACGAAGGGTTGTGCTGTACAGTTGGTCACTGAAGAGGTGTGGTTAGATATGCAATATTGTGTGAAAGGCCTCTCACACAACGGGGCAATCAGGAAAATGAGAAACACACACACACACTCATTACTATTATCTGAAGCAAAATGTTCTCCGAGCCTTGGGAGAGGTATAACAAAGCACTCTGGGAACACAGGCATCTAGTATTGAAACTAGAAGACCATGAGAACCTTTGAGAGGATTCTAAGAGACGGCTAGGACTGGAAGGCTGTGATCATATGGCAGAAGCTCCAATTAAAGTTGGAGTGAAAAAGAATGGTGGTTAGAAAATGTCCCCTGGGCCTTTGTCTGACACTGGCAAAGAGCGGGCTAACCCAGATACCCGAGGTTGTCAGGAATTTCTGTGAAAGGGCAAAGGGACGGGACACACGTGATAAATTCACAAGATTCCTTTTTGCTCTCAATTCATAAAGGGGGCTGCATTTAACTTTAAATGTAAGAAGCCAGTAAACCACAAGAGACAAATGAAATGTTCCGTTTCAGACTTGCACACCTACCCCTGTGGAGCGCGCACCCTATAAGGGAGAAGTTATCACCCTGAAATCCGAAGGGACAAAAGAAGAATGCACAGCTGGGACCAGGAAACAGGCTCACCCCTGAGCTGGGCGCTGTCAGGTAAGGGACACAGGGCAAAGAAAGCATTCCTGCTTGATAGCATATGAATTAGCATTTCTTTCTTCACAAGCATTTGAAGAGTTCAAGGCTAAAAGCTTCAAAGAGAAATAAGGCTGACGGATATTTGAATCAAAGGGAAGATTGATAAAAGACCTCATGATACAAAAAGTTTAGATGAGCCTCCCAGATTCAAGAAGAGTCTCGAGATTCATTCTCTGAGACGTTAGCAAAACATTAACAGAGAGTCAAACGTGAACAAGAGACAGCAGGCTGGTAACATAACAGAGGGGCTTGTTATCGAGGAAAATTGACATTACTTAAAACCGGGAGTACAATTTCACGGTCAAACAATCTATCAACTGTTTGAGTAGGACGTTATCTGAAAAAATGAATCTTTGTTTTGTGACTGCAATTATGTTCTATAACTTTGAATGAATGAACAAGGAATCCAGTGTTTTCAGGAAAAATATTTGATAGTATTGGATATACTTTATTTCACACTTGAAATTGTAATAATATTATAGAGGTAGTCATTTTTGCAAAAATACTTGAGTGCTTCATCAGTTCTCTCTTAGTCCTTTGACATGTGTATCTTTGTTTTTGGACACACCTATTATCATCATCCTTGTCGATTTTCTTTTCTTCAGTTACTTTCTAGTCCAGCTCAGGCAGATGCCTTTTTGTCAGTGGTTTTGCTAATCTCTCTAACCTCGCTTCCACTGACTTCATGAAGGCCTAACTGTTTCACCAGTTTTGCAATTTCACTAGACTCTGAATGTTTGAAAAATGGTGATGTATTTTCAGGTGTTTCAACATGTAGCAGTCTGCAAGAGACTTACACAAAAGGTTGACGTTTGTATTAATTAGGGGGGCTATTTGACAAAGGACTAGTTTATAAATGCTCAGGTAGGCATTGCACATTTTCATATTCTGACAACCTACGCTTGCCTATGTTAAGTAAATCTGGTGACTGCAGGGGTTTGGATAATGAATTCTTGGATAAAAAGGCCCTCTGTGCTATGTGCTTTGCTCTCTTTCATTACTGAATGTGTGAGTCTTTAACAATGCTACATAGTTTCAGCCTGCTTGTCATTTCCAGCGAACTGGAATTATTCTTCCAATCCAGGAAGATTGTGTTAAAAATTCAGAGGAAGGTGAGCAAGAGAGAAAAATGCTATAAAATGCTATTAACAGCATTTGTAGGTGTAAGATTAGTATTTACTTTGATTATAGCATTTCTTGGGGGTGAGGCTTGAGGTCTGTGTTTCTTTGTGAAGGAGAATGTTACACTGAGTTCCTTTTATTCTGTTCAAAGGTAAAATCAGAGGATGTGATGCTTTTCCCATCACAGTCAAACATTGCCAGCCCACCGAGAAGCAGGTCTGATTTCAACTCCCCAAGTTCCTTTTGAAAAAAAAACAATCGCTCTAGGCCACTTTCGTTTTCTTTCAGAAGCAATTGCTGTCTTTCTCACTGTGACTTTGTTGCTGTGTAAAACTGAAGACATCAACGAACATTACTGTGATGGAAAGTCTTTGTGAAAGTTCATTGATGATACTTTAAAATGTCATCTTTGCTTGTGCTAGATTTCTGACTTTGAGTTTTTTACAATCCCTTTCTTGTTTAAAGTTTTATTAAAAATGGCTACATTTGTTTAAAAATAGCTAACGCTGTGATCTTACATTTTATTGTAATTAATAAACATTCAGGTCTGTATTCTGCATCATGTTATCTGAGTTACGTGGGTCTCATTCTGTAATAGTTTCCTGTGGCTGCCGTAACAAATCACCACAAATTTGGTGGCTTAAGACAACAGAAATGTATTCTCTCACAGTTCTGGAGGCCAGAAGTCTAAAATCAAGTGTCGGCGGGGCTCGGCTCCCTCCAAAAGCTCCAGGGGAAGATCCTTCCTTGCCTCTTCCAGCTTCTGATGGCTCTAGGTGTTCCTTGGCCTGTTGCTGTGTAACTCCAATCTCTGCCTCAGTCTTCACGTGGCATTCTTCTTTCTGTGTCCTTGCCTGTGTCCTCACATGGCCTTCTCCTTTGTGTCTGTGTCTTCTCCTTTTCTTATAAGGACACTCGTCATTGGATTTAAGGTCCACCCAGATAATCCAAGATGACTTCAAGATCCTTAATTACATCTGCAAAGACCCCTTTTCCAAATAAAGTCACATTCACAGGTTCTGGGGATTAGGACATGGACATATCTTTTTTGGGGGGAGGAAGGGGACCATTCAACCCACCACACCTTCTAACTATTGGGAGGTTGGTTTTGATTTGAATGCATGACTTTCTGTGTGGCATCTGCCTCAGCAACAACTGGAAATCCTCAGCAAACTTCATGTGATAAATTGGATACTCAACCTTAGAGTAACTCCAGGCAAATTATCCAGTCACACTGAAGAATGCAGGATGTGAAGGAATTAAGTAGTATCAGTGGGGCTAAAAGATGCTGCATTGATATCTTCCCTTCTCTTTGCTTCCCGGTCTGTGCTGTGATCCTTTCTGTGTGCAGAGAGCTAGCAGAGAAGCTGAGCTTATATTTCTTCTCCTACCTAACTAGGTCAATAGGGATTTTAAAACATGGGGTAAAATCAGGATAATTATACTGTCATTACAGACACATCTGCAGGTATTCACTTAAATCAAGTGTATATTTGTACATTTGATAAAGTATAGTAACACTCCAGTTTACCCAATCATAGTTTGCCTTGAGCACACAGAAGAAAGGATGGTGAGCGGGACTTGAAGAAAGAACCTTCTGTTTCAGTCAGACTATAGCTCTTTTTTCTCAGGTAAGAGATACCTTAAAATATTTTATTATTTTTCTCCTCTCCTTTGGATGACAATAGAACTACTTCACAATGAATCTTCTCTAAAGGAATAATTAAATCACGTTCTCATCTAGAAGCCAATTCCCGCTCATCCTTCAGTATTCAGCTTAAATATCATCCCTCCAGCATGACAGGGTTAACCAGTTGCCATAGATTCGACCCAAATCATGATGACCCCATGTGTGTCAAAGTAGAATTGTGCTCCGTAAGATTTTCAATGGCTAATTTTTTTGGAAATAGATCACCAGGACTGTCTTCCTAGGTTCTTCTGGGTGGACTCGAACATCCAACCTTTTTAACAGCTGAGAGGCTGCATTAACCATTTACACCACCATTAACCATTTGCACAAGGTTAGATCCCTCATTTATGCACCTAGGGCTCATCATATACCTCGTCACATCACCATATCTCATTGCATTATAATTACCTGCTATGTGTCTGTCTCCTCCAGGAAACTGAAAGCTCTTTGAGGTCCTGTCCTGCACACATTCACTGGATATTTGTGAATTTTTAAATAAAGGTGAAAGTGGAGGAGTTCCTGCTAAACTCCTAAATTGATATAGCTAACTTACTGAGAACTCTCAACTAAATAGGGATTAACTTTGTGGAGTATTGTAATTTGAGTGCTTTAAATGGAGAGTACAGGTTCATTATCTATTTGAGGAGATACAGCGGAAGATGTTTGAACTTGGAAAGGCTTACTAAAGGAAAAGGAGTTAAAATCCTGTTTTATGAAGATCCTTTGCCTGGCACAGGAAGGAGAGAAGTACATTTTAAGAAGAACAGTATAGCCAAAAGCAGAGTGTCATGCACAAGCAAGTCACACACAGGGCTGGCACACAGGTCAACGTGGCTGGGCCATCACCCTGGAGGTACTGGGGACTGGCCGAGGAGGCTCTGGGAGCTGGAGGGGAGGGGTGTTACAAAATAAGCTATGGGAGTAAAGAAACATTAACAGGGCTTTTTCAAGCATTGCTTTTGCCTTCTGCTAGGATGTGGTCTCCACAACAATACAAGATCATTGGCTTTTTCTTTAATGAAACCTCTAAATGTGCTCAATAGATTCTCAGTAATAACATTTATTAGGCCCTTATTAAGTGCCAGGCCCAGGGCTAGGCTAAGTGCATACACTATTGTTTCATTCTCTCTGTAGCTCTATGATATGGATACTATTATTTTTCCCTTTTAACAGATGAGAAGAGAAAGGCTGAGAGAGGTTACGTAATTGCCTCAAGGCACTTGGCTAGTCAGTGGGTGACCTCCGATTTAACCCTGGTCTATTTGACTCCAATTGACCACTTAAGCGTATTCCTTGGTTAAGACTTAAAGAATCCACTCTGAATGATGGACAGCTAACTAAACATCATCAGAGCTCAGGAAAAAAGACCAGCAGCAAACAATCGTTAAGAGCTTACCCACTGAGGCCCTAAGTACATTACGAGTATTAGTTCACATGATCCTTCCAACATCATGAGGTGGGGGACTGTGATTATCCCCGTTTGATAACATCATGAAACTGAGGTGCAGAGAGGTTACATTAATTGTAACTTCTTATATCCAAGATACTGTCACAGGATGACCTGGAAGGAGGTTTCCAAGGTGTTATTAAAGCTTTTCAGTAAATAGAGTTCTAGAACCACCTAAGATAACACCGGTGAAAGTGTATTATCTCTACACTCTTGGTGATACTTCTGCATTTAGTACAGTGTAAGGAGGAGCCTAGTGATTTTCTGCAGTCAATGGTGGTTCTCAGCAAATTAGACTTGATTTCTTCTAAGAAACCTAGCATTCTGGTAAGGAAGTTTCCTTTGGAGCAGACTGAAGTCTGTGTTCTCTTTCTTCTATGCATTTTTTTTTTTAAAGAGAATTGAATCCAGATTTGTTTGATTCCCCTTGAACCTAAAGTCAAGAACACAGGTGGACACATAGGCAGTGAGGGGTGAGTGGGAGTGACTTGCAGTGCTCAAGGCCTTTCAAGGGGCTGCCTCTCCAGGTAAGAGGGGTCACTGCGGTGCTGAGCAAGTGCTGAGGGTCAGTGGGAGCCTAGTCGTGGCCAGCCTTCAGCCACAGGGAGCTGAAGTCAAAACAGTGTCGATGGTTAGCTGTCTTTCCAGGCCCTCTCGGCCAGTCACCGCCTCTTGTCATGGGGC